AGCCCTAGGTTACAGCCTCTGAATGAAGAGCTACCACTCCCAATCCACCAAAAAAACTCCAACCCCCTGCTGACCAGAGAAGCCCAGGGAAGGTTTCCTCCTCTCTTTTCCTGAAGCGCTCCCTGTCGTGCCCGAGTGCTCCCTAGCTCTGTTTCACCAGGCAGGGTGTATCAGGTGAAGAGGGCTGAGCGCTTCCCACTGCTTCTGTGGTTTCAGTAGTTGGTGCCGCTGGAGGGACAACTTGATAGAACTCTGCTGCTCTCCCTCCACTAACCCAGCCCAGGGTGCTGTACAGGACAGCACGCAACGGCCACTTCTTAAGCAGGGGGCAAGGGGGTGTGGGGACAGCACAGGGAGGGAGGGGAAAAAAAAATAAACCTGGCTACAGGGTGGCTGCTGTTAACTGCACAGGAAACTATAAGCCTGCAGCCTCTCCCTTCTTCTGCAGTACCCAAGAAAACTCTCCTGAAGCAGTTCTCACCTCCCAGCAAGGGCCAAAGGCCCCACAACTTTCCAGCACCTACACAGCTGTTTCACATTTCGGCTTAAACAAAAACACAGGCTTGTGTTCAAACCAGACAACTGCAGCATTATTCAGTTAGCGACATCAGGGCTTTGCTCCCCACTTACTCCCCGTCCCCCCCAATGCCTTATTATAGAACTTTAAACACTATTGATTAAATCGAAGCAGGGTTTTTCTAGTTTCAGCCCGTATCTCATATTCTCCCCCGCCCAATCCGATCTAAGGATGTCTGTGAGCTATTTGGCGTTCTCTGTTTTTTAAGAAATGTAAGAGTTTTATTTCCTACTGAATTGACCCACAGGGAACAATTGCCCACAGAACCTTTTTATTAGACCCCTCATAAACAGTGAGGGCTGTAGGGAAAGTAGTAAAGTTGCTCTTATTGTTTTAACATAATGTAACAAACGTATAGCTTGTGGGTTAGGGAAACGATGCCAGCAGAGTGAGTATCTGTGCAAGCCGTGTGTGTGCACACTCACGGTACCGTCAGGACTAGTTGCATGACATAATCCCCTCGGGAATACAATAGAACAGCCTGTTCTTGACATGTGTCAGAAGCTATTTTCTGATCATTAAATGGAAAAAAAAAAAAAAAAAAGAAGCTAGAGGAGATGTTCTTCCAGATTTGAGCCGAACCAAGGGGGAGTGGAGGCAGCTGAAATGGAAGTCACCCTGACTGCCAGGCAGGAGAACAGCAAAGAGACTTGGGAGCCAAGTCATATAGGGGGGGGAAAAAGGGTATTTTGGGAAGAATCATCACTATGAGGGCACAACAGCAAAGTAGTCTGTTGAGGAGGAAATCCAGTCCCCTAAAAGAGAGAACTTGACTAACTCGGAGGCAAATACAATTTCTACTTCCAGGGGCAGAATACAAGTGAATAGCACAAGGGGGGGGGGGCGTGTGCAGTGTGGGAAGGGGTGGCACAGCCCATCAGCAAGGCCACTCGGCTCTAACTAGGCAAGAGATAAAAATGTTGCACAAGTCTTATTACCAGCACAGCCGAGAAGGGACAGAGCTGGCCCATTACTCGCTGGGGAGGGAAAGTAATCAACAGATGATGCTGAGATGTGTTAAATGTGTTTGTGCTTCAAGCCTCGCTAAAAAGGAGGAAGAAGCAGGAGAGCTGCCACCAGCCGTCTAGTTACAAGGAAAATGAGTGGCAAAAGGGCTTCTATCCAGGCTAGAAAGAAGACAGCTGGTTCCTGAGCTGGCTTTACCCAGTTCTTTGGGTACTGGGGGATGACTATTTTCAGGTCTGAAACCATCGACCTCGCCTCACCTGTTTACAGCTTTTTGTCTTTCCTGGCTGGTATTTGTGGGAACAGCCTCCCGTGTCTTTTCTAGCAGGAACTGCTCCATTTTAGGAGTTCCCTCCGCATCCCTGTTCCTCCCTCCCACCACTTGTCCTGAACTATTTGCATCTGTCCCTGGGCACGGAATACCATCCAGTGATGTGACTGGTTTCAGATGAGGATATGGAACATTTCTGGAGGACAGGTCAAGCTTTCTTGAAACCAGAATTACAAATAAATAAATGAACAATTCTTGTGTAACCAATTATACTCAATAAACCAGGTCTCTTGACAGCCCTATTCCAGCTGGGGACAACTGTGAAGCGTGCCACTTGCTGCCCCATAGGAGATTTTCCTACCTGTGACCGTATCTTCAGCGCAGGTCCGAGTTTCAGCCCCATGTTGTTCAGTAAGTGCTCTTCTGTCAGGAGGGGCAGGGTCTCGCCATCAATAGCCTGCTCTCGGAATACCTGAAAGAAAACAGAACGCAGGGCCAGGCTTAGAAACGCTGGTACCACATCAGATGTGTTCCCCTTGGTCCTTCTTGGCACACGAGAGGTACACACAGTCCTGCATCCCCAGCTAGGAGCCAGCAAGTGCAGGGAGACACATGGGAACGTCATTCAGGGCTGGTTGGGCCAGTTAGCTAAAGCAATACATTTTTTTTATTTATTTTTTTTAAATGTTGGGATGGTGTGTGACTTTCTCTGGTTTAGCAACCAACTGACCTAAGTGCAACATTATGAGCGAGCCCAGCTGACAACATGTGATAGCAGGTCTGAGAAAGAAGAGTGACAGGCCCAGGGGCCCCAACTCCCAAAAGGGCAGAAGACGTAGGAGAAAAGATAAGAATCTACATTTTGGCAAATCCTAGGTCACTCACACTTGTGTGGATATTTGGAAAACGTTGACCCAGTAGACTTCAAAAGTATTTGCAGTCTTCAGTGAGGCATATGCAATTGAAAAGGAGGAACTTGCTTGTTCCTGCGTTTCCTTCTCAAAGCTGCTAATTTCCAAAACAGTCTCCAGGCAAACTATGGAGCACATTCTGCAGGTTAGATGGATTCATGTGCAACACTCAGTTTTGCACTTTTTTCTTTTTTTTTCCTGACTCCTTTGCCTGTGTTCTATTACAACGATCCCTAGAGCGTGCGAGCAGCCTGGCGACTGCAGTTCCCTCGTGACTCCTGATACCCAGCTGGGATCAGGACGAGCCCTCCTTGGTCTGTTTAAGCACTAGGCCCTTTCTTTTTCCCCAACACATCTAGCAACACGCACTAACACCCATGGCAGTGCCACCGTACTGACTGAGGTAGCCAAGCGGCACCGTGCGAGCGGCGTGCCCGGCCCCTGGGCCAGCAGAAGAGCAGCTCTCGTGCCCTCTCCCTCTTTGCTGAGAGGAGCAGAACCTGCTGCTGTGTGTACACACAATCACAGCAATGACAGCAGGGTTAGGATCATCTTATAAAAATGGCAGTTTCACATGAACACTTCCGAATACACCCAGCCATGCAAAACTACACGGTCTTAACACGTTCCTAAGGGCAGAAAAAAAAATAATTTGTTTTGCCTCTGTTTCAAATGACAGGGTCATGCAAGGTTTTCCACCTGCTATGTACCGTGTGATAAAGGTCTGGATACGTGGCCTTACTGCTCCACTCTCGTACTCCGAGCAGGGTTACCCTTACACCACCCTCCTCGGGGTGTTATTCTGACCTACAGGCTCAGGACTCGCAGAGTAAACTGCCAGCACTCGGTAATTTAGCCAGCAGGTTCCCCTCGGTTCTGGGGGTGTCGGGCAGACACCTGGGGTTTCTTACTAACCCCCACCTCTGCCCCATGGCATTTTTTTCACAGCCCAGCCCATAACTGGCTGCTCACCCAAAGGAGGTGTCTGTGGGGCCCGATCCTGCTGTCCCTCCACGCCGTGGCTCACCCACAGCACCATTATTCCTAAACACTACGGCAAGGGAGGGGGGTTCACTTTACTCCAGTGGCTTCTTTTTTTCAGCAGCAGGTCGTAGCCCAGAGCCACCCCTTTGGAGAGAGGCGGTGGCTGTCGGAGCCAAGGCAGCAAGTGGTTTTTAATGCTGGACTCCACCAGCAAAGCTGCTCATGACTGCAGCATGTGTTTCTGCTCTTTGACCTAGCAAAACTTACTATACCAATTTCTTTTCCTTCCTCTGAAGCCAATGTGGCCGGGAGCCAAAAGCCTCCCTTTGCTCAGCACTGAAACCCTCCACAAAAAGCCTTAACTTGAGCAAGGCAACCCCCTTGGGTGTTCCACAGGTCTTGATCCACTGCAGGGACAAAGCTGAATATTGTCCAGGGCTGAAATCAGGCATGGCAACTTTTGTTTCTGCTGAAGTTTTCTTGTTTGTCTGAAACATGTTTCTAAACGCACAGCATACCACCAAACTCTTGCTGGGTTTTCCTGGCAGGAGAAGCCTGCAGACCAGTGCCAGACCTCCCCGGCAGCTGTGGTTTTGGAGAAGAGAACACAGACAGCTCTGCAGTTTAGAGCCACGGAGCTGGGTCACCCTCAAACTGGCATTTTCACATAGTAAAAAAACCTGTTAAGCGCGTAACCATAGCACATAAAAACGCATCATCCCTAAGCCACGCACGCCCTGCAGAAGGCAGCCTCCTGTCGTGGCCTTGCTGCGCTCTTACAGCACCTCCCGTTATCGTCAAACATTTTGTTTGGAATGCACGGGGAAAACTGCTGAAGCTTTGTCTCGGCGAGCTATTGATTCCTTCCCCACTGGTCTACCAGGAGCTGGCATGGAGGGGGTACAGGGATGATCCTCCCCCGTGGTGGTTGTTCTCAAGGTTCCTGCACGTTTCCTACTGGCCTCATCCAGAAGCTTCCAGCAGCTCTGCTCTCCGTTCCCCAGCACAGGGATGCAGACAAACTGCAACGCCACCAGCACAAGAGCACACCGTCTGGGGCGGGGGGGGGTAACAGAGACCACCAGTAGCTGTATCTTTTGGTTTTAGAGCCTTTTGCTCGAGCTCATTTCAACAAACATACAAGTCCTGAACCCATCATCCTCGCCCAGCCCAGCCCCTGAACTCCCCTCTGCACATGCAGACCTGCTGCTCCCATCAACACCCACCCATCCACCATCTTTTTTAACTGGTGTCCTTCTCCTCCCGCTCTCCATACTGAAAAACCAACCCATCTCTTCCACACACCCAGGCACCCTGATCCACTCCCAAGCACAACCCACAGCACTGCTGTTCCTCCTGGGAAATGCTCCACACCCCCAATCAAGCGCTCCCTTTTCTCCGGAGAAGCACCGGCTTTACTTACAGGTGGTTTTAACAAAGCATGTTGTGATGGGATTAACATCACCATCACGGTTTGGGGGCAAGGAAGGACAGACTTCAGATTGAAAATGTGTTACACTGTCACCTCTGCAAGAAGAGGGAGGTGTGGGGCGATGCCAGCTCTCCCCACGACCTGCTACCACATCAGCACAACCTGAAGGAGATCGCTGCCCCGAGGCAGATCTGCACGGTGCTGTCCCAACGGGCAGAAGCAGAGGTGCTGAGCTTCACCCTTCTCGAAATAGCCGGGGATGGGTGTAAATTCCGGGAGAGGACACTTCCCTAGTGCAACTAACAGGGGGAGAGAGCAAGGGCCACAGATGGGGAGGCGACAGATTTTGAGAAATCCAACTGTAGCCAACCTGGGTGTGCGCAGCAGAGCTCTGCACTGCTCCGCTGTCGGTCAGGGAAGCTGCCCTCCAACCGGCGTGTCCGGAAAGCTCCTGCTCTCCTTCCTCCCTTTCAAGACCTGTTCTCAGCTTAGGATGTCTCTCTGCTGAAAGGCTGGATTGTCCTGAACTTTGGCCCTTTGCCTCTCTATCTCTGCCACTTTCCGTCCCTCCCTTCTAAGCACACTACATCCCCTTCACACGCTGCCCCAGACGGCTCAGGAATCTGCGCCTTCGCAGTCGGGGTGTTCTCTCAATGGGGCATTTATAATGGACCCGAGCAGATGCGGAAGCAAAAAACAAAGGGTTGTTTTTTGTATTGCACCTCACACTCACACTGAGCAGCCTTTATGAAGCCCCCATTACTGGCGGATGTTTCAACTCTGCTATAATGAGCTTTAAAATCCCAGTCGCCATCACTCTGCGGCAGAGGTTACTTTGCTGCCCACGCAGGCTGGGTCTCTCGCAGCCCCACGCTGCCCTCACAACGTTCCGGGTGCAGCAAGAGAACGTGGCACCTCCTGCCAGGCACGGCGAGCTGCCCGCCCCGAGCCAGGGACCACCCCACAGCCCCTCGCCGGGGCAGCAGCTCCACGCAAAGCCCCCGCCGTGCTCAGCTCCACGGCAGAGCACAGGGCAGCTCCTGAACGCACGAGCTGGACAGTGAGAGGTAAGTGACATTAAGCCACTAACGGTGATGGGCCTGTGACTCGAAATGGTAACCTTGCCCCTACTGCCACCCTCTCCTTCCTGCTGTCCATCTGCAAGGCCCCTCACACACCTTCTCAGGGTCCTCACTGGCAGTGAGTGCCTACTGAGCAGTCCACTAATAAAAAAAACAAAACCAAAAACTGGAGGCCCTGCAGGGCTCTGCGATAAACCTTCTCCTAGCAGGAACAGCGCAAGTAAAACAGGCACAGAGGGGACGGGAAGAGTAGGGACTTGCAGGGAGGAACGTTCCTCCCGCAACGCTCTTGAGGCTGTTAGGAGATTTACCTGAGTGTACTCGGTGCAGCCAGACAGGTTGGACACAAAGCTGCACACATCCTCCACCGTCCATTTGCTGATGTCTTCCAGCGCGGGGCTTTCCTCACCATCCAGAAACAGACCTCCCATGGTGCCTGGATTGTTTGGAGTTGGGGGGGGTTAGGAAGGAGGGGAGGAAAAAGAAACATAAATCATTAAAATCCCACACGGACAACAACTAGCCTGCAATCTGAATATTTTTCTCTAGCCACACATTCATCTTTAATGACCTGTCAATTAAAGCACTGGGCAGGGTCAATTCATAGGCCTCTTCCTCCTGGAGGTCCCCAGCTTAGAAAGGGGGGCAGGGGAAAGGAAAAAATCCTAGCTAATGCATTTCATGTGTTTAATGTTCTTCAGCTGTGGGGAAGAAATAGGGGGAGGGGAGAGAAAAGAAAAAAACCCTGAAGGAGTGTTTCTCCATACGCACCGCAAAGCGGAAAACTCTGACTGCCCTGTGGGTTTCTTTCCCCCAACCCTTCTCCTGGCTACGTGCTCCGAATGATAACAGGCCCCGGCACCTCTCCCTGGTGGCCCGCTGCCTCGCCGGAGCGTGAATCACTGGAGAACGTCCTGCTCTTTCCAAGTGTTCATTTTCAACCACCCGCAGCCTGAAATACCCATCGGATCGGCCCGCCCCATAGCACAGGGCCCCCGGCCCCACGGCAGGAGCGGGGCCTCTCCTGGCCGAGCGTCTGACGGGTGACGGGGTGACCCCTGCCAGCCCCCGCCGCCCGCCGCAGACAGCCCAGCTCAATTCACGCCGATATGTCAATTCCCTGCAACGCAACAGCGGTTCAGGTCCCAGCCCTGTCAGCAGAGACGAAGGTGATGGGTTCCAAAAGGGTGGAAGCGAGCTCCCCCGCTGCCCTGCGTCGCCAGAGCCTGACAGCACGGGACGTGCAACGCGGGGAGAAAACCGGGCTGAAGCCACGAGAGGAGCTGGGGGAGAGGCACGGTGAATAAGAAGTGGCAAAACACTGGCCAGGTTAACTCCTGTCTAACTGTGGTGTGCAAAAGGAAAAGCACAGCAACAAGTAATGAAGAAGCCTAGTTCCAGAAAACACCCCTTTGGGGAAGCAAAGAAAAACAACAGAACAGGCAGGTGCTGTTAACCTGTGGAACTCACTGCTGCATGATACCATTGAGACCAAGAGATCCAGAGGACGTTTATGTGAACACCCATGATTACAGTGGGTAAAGAAAGAGTTTGTAAGGGGTATAAACTGTTATGCTTCAGGGCACAGAGCAAGAAATTGCCCAAAAAAAATATTTCTCCCAGGGGTCTATCATGACAAAATTATCTGTCCCGTAGGCTTAAGGTTTTCCCCTGAGGCATCTGATCAGCACCACGGATGTAACCCCTTGCTGTGACTCCTCTGCTCCTGTCCACAGCATTTCCGCAAGAAATGACAAGATAACGTGGGATGCAACGAAACCCTGGTGGGGAGCACAAGCCCAGAGAACGAGGAGCGGCCGGTTCCCCGGGGGAACGCTCCAAGAGGCGCAGGAAGAAAAGAGCAAACGGCAAAGCCGCCCGCCGAGTCTCTGCGAGGCGCCTGGCAAAGCCACCGGCACAGCCCAAGCTAACAGGAAAAGGACAGGATTTACAGAGGAAGTTATCGTGCCAATAAGATGCTTTTTAAAACAACAGCAGACTGCACCAGAAGCAGGCAGACGCTATGTAATCATTTCCACTACATTTCCGCTCCCAGCTTCCCGCTTCCCTTCCCAGCCTCGCCCTCCGCACGGGCCTGCGGCTGCACCACCACCTCCTGCCCTCCCTCCCGCCGCCTCCTCTCGGGGAAGGCGACGGCAGCGGCTGCTCCCCCCGAGCTGCAGGGCCGAGGCGCATCCCCCCAGGAGCACCCCGGCCGCTGCTCCCCCAGAGCCCCAGCACGACCCGACGCGTGCCAGCCCGGTGCCAGGACGTCTGCCTGGAGCTACGGGGACAG